CATAGAACTTAAATAAAAAAAATTCATCAAATTTTGTCTAGTGGTAGTGGAGATATCTTCACTTAAAGTTAAAAAAAAATCAAACTGTTTATCAAAATTAAAGCTATGTCAATTCCTTAAAAAATTTAATTGAAGATATCTCTACACCACTAGATCAAATTTGATAATTTTTTATTTGAATTCTATAAAGACATAGAATTTAAATAAAAAAAATTTATCAAATTTTGTCTGGTGGCAGGGGGTAGTAGAGATATTTTTACTCAATGTTAAAAAAAAATTAAAAATAAAAGCTATAATATTTTTTTAAAAAAAAACTTTGAATGAAAATATTTTCACAACCACCAGACCAATTTTGATAAAATTTTTTTATTTGAATACTATGAATACATAGAATTTAAGTAACAAAATTATCAAATTTAGTCTAGCGATTGCAGAGATATTTTTAATTAAATTACTAGCTCATAAATATAAACTTTATTTTTTAAACTTATTATTTTATTTTTCAAAATACTATTTTGCAATATTTAAACTAATATTTCTATTAAATTACTAGTGAGTAAGTGTAAACTTTATTATATTTGTCACTAAAATTTCAATTGATTTTTATATTATGCTAATTATAAATTTACAATGTATATTTGCTTCTACTTATTAGCAAGTAAGTATATAGTTACTAAAATTTCACTTGTTTTTATGATACACTAATTGTAACTTTATAATAAATATTTTTTTCTGTCAAATTATTAGTTGGTAAGTATAAGTTCATTATTAAACCCTTTATTTACCACCTAGATGAAGTTTTTAATGCTTGAAAAAAAAAATATTTTAGCATCTTGTTGTACAGATACAGCACTGTATCTAATACTATACATGAAATATTATTTTTATTTTTATTTTTTTTTAATGTTAATGGTGAGACCTTGCTCTTATCTTTATTAAATTTAATCAAAATTTCTTACAAAATCGAAAAAAATTTTATTGTATAAATCTAATACTAAGAATAAGAACTCAGACTAACTAAAAGTGCCTAATAGACACCTAGTTTTTTATTTGTGGCCTAAACCATATTTATAATATTTATATATTGTATAATTATATACTTTTTATATAAAATTTATTTATATTTATATAAATATAATTTTATAAAAAAATTATATAATTTCTATATATTTGTATAATTTATATAATATATTTATATAACCTTTATATAACATTAAAATATTACTAAATTTTTTATATAAATTCTAAATAGATATAAAACTTACATATAAATTTTATATATACTGTAATGATTACTATATTTAATACTATCTGTTATACAAATAGTTATCATTACTAGAGAAAGTGTTACAGAGTCAAGTAAAAACATAGTAGAGATTGGTATCATGCATGTGCATGATTTCTTAATATTGAACCTAGATGCCACATGATTGGCTAAGAGTGATAAACAAAAAATTAGGCCAGAATTGCTCATAATTTTACTAATGAAATCACAGCCGCCTATTAAGTTTCTGGGCCAATTTTACTATAATGTAGGCTTATTTTTTAAATTAATAAACAGTTATATAATACAAGTCAAAATTTGAAGATTCTTGGTAATACCTAGAGTTAACATTTCATAATCACAGTTTATTTGCAGTATAAAAGCTAACATTGCATAAGCTCTATTAATACACTAATGCTTTAATTAAATTCAAAAAAAAAAAACTAATATAAGATGAGTCTACTTGACGTTTTAACTAAATTCAAGAAGAACTATCTTAAGAAAAAAAAGAAAAAAAAAAGAAAAAAAAAAAAAAAAGAGTAAGAATTAAGAAAAAATAATAATAATTAGCTTAGGAAAAAAAAGAAAAAAAGAACTTAAAAAAAAAAAAAAAAAAAAAAAGCCCTTGTTCCTATTTTTCTTCTGCATCAATTTTTCTTCGCATTAATTTTTCTTTGCGTCACTTTTTCTTTGCGTCACTTTTCTTCATGTCACTTTTCTTTGCGTCACTTTTCTTCACGTCACTTTTTTTCGCGTCACTTTTTCTTTGTATTACTTTTTTCGCGTTACTTTTCCTTTGCATCGATTTTGTTTAAAATCATATAAAATTTACTATATTACATTAGATTTCTTATGGCTTTATTAATACAATAACAGTATGCACATAGATTTATTATACAATCAAGTTAATAGAGAAGCAATATAGACATACTGTAAGTATCGAAGCAATGCACTATCAAAATGCTATAAATTCCAATCATATATACTAAATTACATCATGTTACGATTTTCAAATACTAAATTCACTACAAATAAAAATAAATTTTACGTACCCAATAATATTAATATATAACTATATAATTTTTACATAGCAATAAATATTTAACTAATTAGAAATAAAAGCATTGACATAATATGAATTGAATGTGTCAAATCGTGGCACAATATGAACAATATGATTAATCGACTCCACTGGAACCATATTATAAATATTCGTAACTTGTAAATAAGGACACTCATATTTATAAAATTTAGAGGGATTATTGGGAAATTTAAAATCGTACCAACGAATAAGTGCAATATCAAATGTAGTAGTATTTTCTAATTCTATACGAACCAAAAATAAAATCTAAATATTTAAATTATTAATTTAAGTTTTGAATTTACATAATTAGTTATAAATAAATTTACATACTTTTGTAAAGCAATATCTGCCAAATGTTTTAATTTCTTGTTCAGAATTCATATAAACAGCAATGTCACTGAACATTGGTGCATTATGGTAATTTTTTGTAGCTCTTACTTGTTCTTTATTAGGTAGTGTAAAAGACTCATATAAATTCAACGTTATTTCTAATTCTTTTATGTTTTTTTCAAATGCAGGTATAAGGTTTAAATAGTCTTTCATTGTGGAAATAAACTGTTTCAAACTTTCAAGAATTTCAGGACTACATTCATTGTCATCCTCATATAATTCAATAATTGAACTTAAAAGACATAATGGTATAGTGCAATAACTTTTGCCAAACTTCCCCATATTAATTTTAGATTTGTCAGTTTGTAATACAATGTATTCATAAATTTCTTTAAATGTAAGTATTCATGTTATCTAATGATGATAAGTATCAAATTAAATTGCAATATTAGATACATATTAAAAAAGTTATATATAAGTACTTTTTTTAAAATCTGCGAATCAATATTCTGTCTATTAGATTTTCTGTAAAGGTTTTTAATATATTGTTTATAAAGTGCTTCGTATGTATTAGCACTTAGTCTATTTATATTTCTATATTCTTCAATTGTCTCAATAGTGTGGTGTATCCAGTAGTGAAACTTTAAATATCGACAATCGTTTTTTGTAAATGAGCCAAGAATATTAGCAAAATCCTTTGCCCAGGTTTGAATTGACTTCTATAAAATAATAAATAATGTTATTATCTTACTGTAAAATAACTCATCTATAAAATAATTAATTTTAAAAAAGTTTTAAAACTATATATTATGTAATTTAATTATTTTAAATCGCAAGTAATATCAATACGTATTTATTGATTTTAGAATTACTAATCTTGAATTCAAAAAGATCAGACTGTGTAAATTTATATTGTTTCGATTGATTATATATTTTATTCCAATTAACATATATTTGCACAAGTGATTCATTTTTTTTTCCCTCAAAAGACCTTCAAGAATAAAAGGCATAATTTTCATTATATGCTTATACTCAGATGCTGTAAACAAGGCAAGTTCTGCAAGTCCAATATTAAATATTTTTAATCCTGGGTAACACAGTATTAGTCCAAACCTTAAATCCATTTTGTTAACAAGGGAAATTCCACCATGAAATTTTAAGAGATTCTATGTGAATTTAACCATATATGATATCAATCCAAGATCTAAGTGGTGCATCCGTTCAGGAACTGTTGCAGTATAAATATTAAAATTTCTACAAAAAAAATAAAAAATAAAAAATATATATATATATGCATATTATTTATTAATAAAGAGCTTTAATAATTAGAAAATTGTTGCACTTACAAATGTGTCCAGAAACTATTAGTTTCTTCATATAGTGAGTAGTCTTTACATTGTCCTGTTTCAATAATTTGTCACATTAGATTTTCAGTTCGAATAATCTTGTCATCACTAGATAAATTAATGGCATTTAGTTTATCTTTTTCCACAAGACAAGTGTGACAAGGACGGGCACAATTTGCTCCATTATAGGTCAAACAATATTTGCAATTTTCAGACCAATCATCAATAACACAAGATAGCATCATATTACATTTTAAATCACAGCCATTAACTTTAAATGATATACCTAAACAATACTGTGAATATAATAGTTCGAATAGTATATTCATACATTTGTGAAAAGTTGATCAAACTATTTGTCTAAATTGTGGTGTTTTCTGTTCTTCCATTGTTCCTTGTAAGGTTGATATAATACCAACAAGTGCTTTAGCTTCAGGTTTGTTACGGAATTTTGTTGGAATGTTGCCTAAGCTGATAAATACTGGATGTCATGAAATTTTTCCTAAACGATCCAACATAGTTGCATCTGAATATAATATTATAGCTAAAACATTATTTTCAGATGGAATATATTGTTGTACATGACCCCACTATTTACAATTATAAAACTCAGAGTATACTCTTTCTTTATATCCTAAAATCAAAACAATACCAATTTATATTGTTAATATGCAAGTATATACAATTTTATAAATACGTTTAATTACATAATTACAATAAAAAATCAGATAATATAGATAAAAAACTAATTTGTAAACCAGGTTAGCTACAATACAATAATGTATTTTTAAGAATTTTATCTACTATACTTGATACATAAATTTCTTGATAATCGAACACACAATTTTCTGCAATCTCTTTATTCTGAAAAATTTTCTTAATTGCTGAAATTATAGGTCGATATTCAAATAAATAGACTTGAACCTTTATTTGTATGACAGGAGTTGAAAAAAACTCATTATGACTTTTCTTTAAATTATCCAAGAAATAGAGGCCATCTTTGTTGATCAAGGCAGAGACTTCTCGAAATTTTACTATACTTTTTCATAAACTTTAATACAGCATCATCAGCCTTATAAAAAAGTTGATACTTTATTATCTAATAATAATAATCACAATTTAGTAATTTTTCTTATTTGTATATCAAATTTATTAAGATATGTTAAAATTGTAATACTTACAATTTCAATAAAATCTCGATATGCAGTATGCGAAAACTCTTTACTGTTTATTTTATTAGTATCATTACAATCACTAATATTACTATCATTACTCTAGCATTTATTATTAGTTTTGTGATTTTCTAATAAATACTCTTCAGATATTTGGCTAGACTTAATCTTACCCAGGAGCGCCAACAAAATTTCACAGTCACGTGATAATGGCAAAATTTTTTAAAGTTTGTTTAGGTTAGGGTTAGGGTCTATGCTAAAGTTAGGGTTTGAGGAGTTTTAATAGTAAATCGCTTAAGGAAAACTTTTTGTTAGGGCACTAAAGTGGTTTCTTATGTAATTGCTTAAGAAACAAGCAATTTTTGCAAAGCGAACGTTTGTTTTGAATCTTTCTGATCATGTTACATTACACAAACTCCTGCACCATTATTAATAATCACGTGATAGTGAAAATTTTATTAGTGTTGTTGGCGATCCTGGGGTAGTTCTAGACTCATGAGTAATTATTTGATCAATTATATCTAGATTGTCAATAATATCTTCATTATCAGATCCAAGACTAGCATCATCAGCGAAATCTTGTTTATCAAATACCTATTTAGTAGTTTCTCCACTTATTATTTCTGATTTATAAATATCTATATTATTACTTATATAGATATTGGTGCCATCTTCATTCATATTAATGTCAATATCACTTTCAACTTTCTCATCGGCACTGGTCTTAGCATCATTTTCAAAATTTTCATCAGTGCTAGCATTAGTATTGTCTTTCATTTTCTCATCTATATTGGTACAGAATTGTTTTTAACTTTTTCATTAGTATTTATTACTAAATTGTCTTCAGTTTTTTCATCAGTACTGGTGTCAGTTTCTTCTTCAACTATTTCATTGGTACTGGTATTAGTTACGTCTTCAATTTGATAGTAATTCTTGTGAATTTTTTTATAATTTATAAGACTTGTTAAATGGCCAAATCTTTTTTTGCATATATAACAAGTGAACATTGAAAATAGCTAAAAATTAATTTAAAAAATAGTGCTTTAATGTCATATCTAAAATTTTTATTATATATATATATTTGTATATCATTTATCTTTTAATGTTAATGCATTAAAAAAGCTATATTATAGTTGTGAACCTCTAAATTTGCCTTTTTTGCTTTAGTGCCTATGTTTATTTTTGCTTTGCATTTCATTCCGCATAATTCTGCATAATTCTATTCCATTTTAGTAAAAAAACTGCTTAAAATGGTTGCTTATCATTTCACAAAATTAAGATCGTTTTATAGACTATACTCTTGCTCTTGCTCATGCACGTGCTCATGCATGTGCTCTTGCTCTTGCTCTTGCAGAGCGGAGCAGAGCAGTGCACAGCTAAATGCAGAGCAATAAAAAAAAAAAAACATTACAAGCATGCTACTTTTTTTATTTTTGTGCAAAATTTAATCGTTTACCACAAATCAATTATGTATATTGTTGTTATTTTTCGAATTTTTTGAATTTTGCCTTTGGATTTTTTGCCGCCCTGATGAATTGATAATCAACGATCAGCAAAGGCATTAGTGAATAATTACAGCGAAGAATTTGATGATCATTTCTAAATATATATTTATTATTCTTCGTATACAAGTTTAGCACCGCCATATCCTGTATACATATTAAGTCATTTTTTGACTAAAACTTATACAGTAGAAACAAAAAAAGTTATGCCAAACATATCAGAAGAATAGCTTGAAAAAGCTATTTCTGATGGGCATATTAATTATATCAAATACAATAACTTTATAGACCCTATTTTGATCGGTGTTGGAGGTGAAAGGTTCTTAAATACGAGTGGAGAAACAATGAATTAACCGTTGCTCTTAAATGTCTTAAAGTTGATACAAGCATCGATGAAAGAATTATTAAAGATTTTATTAATGAGGTATTATTTGTTATATTAAATTTTACTGGTATTCTACTACTGAATAGAATAATAAAGTTTATATTTCATTATACAGTATTAGCTTAAACTATTATGAAATGTTTATTGCCATCCAATCATTATTACTTTCTATGGAGTCATGAAAGGTTTACAAGTAATTTAATTTTTGAAGCTATCAATATTTCAAATAATGAAAAATTACCATCAAATTAAATATAAATTTATATAGATATCAATAGATATTATAATATGGTCTTACAATATGTTAATGATGGAACCTTACGAGAATACCTAATGAAAAATTTGGTGAAATTACAATGGACAGATAAACTATCGATTGCTAAGGAAATAGCAATAATAATATTCATAGAGATTTGGCAAGTACTATGTTATATTTAATAGATTTTATATTTATTAGTTATCTGTTATTAATTTACTAATAAATACTTTACTAATACATACTTTAATATTATATTATAATAATTTAGCATTCGAAAAACATCTTAATCCATCAAAGACACAGATTTTGGACTATCAAAGCAAATGAATTAAATGCCTAAGACTTCAAACTCAGAATGCCAGCATATATCTAACATTGATGTCTTATTAAACAAGGATATAAGCGTGATAAGAGATCAGATATTTATAGTCTTAGGATAATCCTCTGAGAAATTTCAAGCGGTAAGCCACCATTTAAACCTTCTAATCCAAGATGGAACTCTGTTTTATGTATATCAAGGAAATAAGGAAAAGCCTATAGAAGGTACACTATCTCAATATATTGAACTTTACCAAAAATGTTGAGACAATGATCCTGCCAATCGTCCAGAAACAAAATTAATTCTTAATACTTTAAAGCAACTTATTTCTATTGAAACTTTGAGTCAAAACGATCCTATTGAAACGTCATCTTAAAATAGTGAAATTTCTTCAATTAAGTTAATACAAACGTATTCAAAAATTCACTTGAAATTACGACTTCATCTTAGGTTTGTTTACCTGATATGATAATTTGAATACTTTAAAGCAGAATAGTAGTTTTCTTGAAAATTTGAGGAAAGAGGCATTAACTAACACAAATCTCTCAAAGTATTGGAATTTTTTGAGGAAATACTTGAAAATAGTCATCATAGTCCTGATGATCAAAAAAGCACTTTAACTTGGGATCTATCTTGGAATAAATATGGATTGAATATTTAAACGAGCTAACAAAGGTACTTTGTAAGAACTCTACCTTAACCTCTTTAGATATTTCTTATAATAATCTTAGACCCGAAGGAGAAAAAGCATTAGCTGTTGCACTTTGAAAGAACCCTTCTTAACAATGTTAAATCTTGATAGTAATGAACTTGAATCCGAAGCAGGAAAAACATTAGCTGATAACTTTGCAAGAACACCTCCTTAACAACGTTAAATCTCGATAAAAATTATATTGGATCCAAAGGTGAAAAACATTAACTGATACACTTTACAAGAACACTTCCTTAACAATGTTAAATCTCGATAGTAATAATCTTAGACCCGAAGGAGAAAAAGTATTAGCTGATGCACTTTGCAAGAACACCTCCTTAACAACGTTAAATCTCGATAAAAATTATCTTAAATTCGAAGATGGAAAGGCAATAGCCGATGCACTTTGCTAGAACACATCCTTAACAACGTTAAATCTCAATAGTAATGAACTTGAATTCGAAGCAGAAAAAGCATTTGCTAATGCACTTTGCAAGAACACCTCCTTAACAACATTAAATCTCAAAGATAATAATCTTGGATCCGAAGCAGGAAAAGCATTAGCAGATGCACTTTGCAAGAACTCCTCCTTAACAACGTTAACTCTCAATAATAATTGAATTGGTTCCAAAGGTGAAAAAACATTAGCCAATACACTTTCAAAAACACTTCCTTAACAATGTTAAATCTCAATAGTAATAATCTTAGACCTGAAGGAGAAAAAGCATTAGCTGATACACTTTGCAAGAACACCTCCTTAACAACATTAAATCTGATAAAATTATCTTGAATTCGAAGGTAGAAAAGCATTAGCCGATGCACTTTGCAAGAACACTTCCTTAACAACGTTAAATCTCGATAGTAATGAACTTGAATTTGAAGCAGGAAAAGCATTAGCTGATACACTTTGCAAGAACACCTCCTTAACAATGTTAAATCTCTATGATAATAAAATTGGATCCAAAGGTGGAAAAGCATTAGCTGATGCACTTTGCAAGAATTCCTTATTAACAGAGTTAGGTCTTCTTAGTAATGAACTTGGATCCGAAGGAGGAAAAGCATTAGCTAATGCACTCTGCAAGAACTTCTCCTTAACAATGTTAAATTTCAATAATAGTAATCTTGGATCAGAAGGTGGAAAGCATTAGCTGATGAACTTTGCAAGAACACCTCCTTAACAACGTTAAATCTCGATAAAAATTATCTTGAATTCGAAGGTGAAAAGCATTAGCCAATGCACTTTGCAAGAACTCCTCCTTAATGACATTATATCTCTATCATAATGAACTTGGATCCGAAGGTAGAAAAGTATTGTCTGATGCATTTTGCAAGAACACCTCCTTAACAACGTTAACTCTCAATAGTAATTGGATTGAATCCAAAGGTGAAAAAACATTAGCCGATGCACTTTCAAGAACACTTCCTTAACAATGTTAAATTTCAATAGTAATAATCTTAGACCCGAAGGAGAAAAAGCGTTAGCTGATGCACTTTGCAAGAACACCTCCTTAACAACGTTAAATCTTGATAAAAATTATCTTGAATTCAAAGATGAAAAAGCATTAGCCGATGCACTTTGCAAGAACACTTCCTTAACAACGTTAAATCTCTATAGTAATGAACTTGAATTCGAAGCAGGAAAAGCATTAGCTGATATACTTTGCAAGAACACCTCCTTAACAATGTCAAATCTCTATGATAATAAAATTGGATTCAAAGGTGGAAAAGCATTAGCTGATGCACTTTGCAAGAATTCCTTATTAACAGAGTTAGGTCTTCTTAGTAATGAACTTGGATCCGAAGGAGGAAAAGCATTAGCTAATGCACTCTGCAAGAACTCCTCCTTAACAACGTTAAATCTCAATAATAGTTATCTTGGATCAGAAGGTGGAAAAGCATTAGCTAATGCACTTTGCAAGAACTCCTCCTTAACAACGTTACATCTCTATCGTAATGAACTTGGATCTGAAGGTAGAAAAGCATTGTCTGATACACTTTGCAAGAACACCTCCTTAACAACGTTAGAGCTTTATGGTATAAAATTGGATCCGAGGAAGGAAAAGCATTAGCGATGCTCTTTGCAAGAACACCTTCTTAACAACGTTAAATATCTGGGATAATGAAATTGGACCGAAGGAGGAAAAGTATATATGTGTTCCCTTAACAAACCATAATTCATTCAACTTGCATTCTCTTGATGCAATCTTTACACTCCGCACTATAATCTCATAATTCTGCTATTTTCTTATTTAGCAAACAGGCTGCTTTAAGCAGGTAAGAAAGCACTGGTTAATACAGCCTACTCAGTTGCTCTATTATTATTAGATACCTGGCATGGAATAAAGAACTTATTAGTTTAAGTATTCGTTAGTGCTCAGCAAAATTAAACTTTTGTTTGACACTCAAATACATGTGACGATCTGACTTTTAAATCAAATATAGCAATACTTTATTGCTGTATTATCGCATTACCATATTGCTAAATTGATTTAAAAGTCAGACCATCACATGTATTTGAGTGTCAAACAAAAGTTTGATTTTGCCGAGCACTAGTATTTGTATTTATGAATATTTAATTTTATCATTTGTATTAATTGACGCGTTAATAAATAAGCTACTGAAAATTTACAATTTATTCGCATTGTTGAATATAAAAATTATTTTTAAGTGTCGCATAGATAAAAACCTGATTTAGCTAATAATTGGTAGTATAAATCCAGTTGCAGAGTTTCTTTTATCACGCAGATGATCTGGGTGATTCACTTATGGGTCACCTGGTATGGAATTTTTCCTACCACCCGGGTAACCCAAGAGAAATGGGTAGGAATTTTTTGACGGGTCAGAACACTTGTCCCAACATAATTTCATTAAATTTAACCAGGCTCACAGCATTAGCAATGCACTTTATCTTGTTCTTAATTAGCACATTATCATTTTAATATAAACAAATCCTTTGTTACAATATAATTACAAATAACTTAGATTTACCTTTTGTTTTTCGATTTATTATAAGAACTTATTAAAGCTTTTTTTTTCTTTTATATGCAATATTTTTAATGAATTACATCATCGGATTTTTATACCCCCAATTTATTATTTTTAATTAATACGAAATTGTTCCCCTTTTTGATTAACAATTAGAATCGAATAATCTAGATTATTGCTTATAAAATCTAATATAATTAATAGAATATTCAATACATTACACAGTTTGATCAGCATAGATAATAATTGAACAAATATTCTAGTGAAGGATCGATTACTAAAGAATGTTACACAAAGTAGTATAAATATATTCTTAAAGTTATTTTTTATCGTTCTTTATATCTTTACTCTTTTCACAACTGTTGCAAAATACTTACGTTTTTCTTAACTATAAAAATGAAATTCAGTGTTTTAATAATCATAGATAGGTTGTTTTTATTCATTGTGTTTACTTACTATATAAACCTAAGTCATATAATTTTATTTATTTTTATATTAAATATTAAGCCACTTGGATTCTAACATTTCTAAAAGAGCAAAAAGCTTCTCTCAAATTTATATGCTTTATTGCAATTAAAAAAGCAATACTTTGTAGCTTTATCTAATTTACTTAGACCAAAAGTGCTTTAACACGACTTTAAACTGTTCAATTATGTGACTAAACTGGAATAATAGAAAAAATAGAGTATTACATTGTTTTTATTATTACGTAATATGTATTTGCACTACTAATAATTGTCTTTATAGTGATTAATAATGATTAGAATTTATTTCTTAAAATTTTTTAAAAACCTTTTTATTATAACTACCAGAAGCAGAAAGCGAAGTCTTGGCTCAGAACAGAGCGAAGTTAATTTGGTAGTTAATAAATTTTAAGCTTTCATATGTTTTTTTTTAAAAATTTGTTAAGCTTTTAATTTTTTTTTTTATCAGACCTTAGAAGCATTAAAATCCGGTTCATCAACCTCTACTACGAAAAAGCAACAAAATAACAAAAATTCAATTAATCAATCATTCAGAAGTGTGAATAAAGAACTACCTACGAACAAAAATAACATTGATAATAATGTTATTGATATTGATAATGATATTCAGAATGAAACTATCGAAAGTCCATCTAGATCACCACTTAATGAAATTTTAGAAAATCCTTTAATTGATGCAGAACATTGTAAGTTTTAAAGTTTTAGTGTATTACTATAATTATAAATACTTACTATCAAACCTAATTAGCCTTAAATAAAGAAAATAAATTAGTCGATGCAGAACACTTCAATTATGGAAAAGCAAGAAACATTAGAAACTACACTTACTCAACTTACCAAAGATGTCAAGACTTTACAATCATCTTATGAAAATTTAAAGTCAAAGGCAAAGGAAAATGGCCATGAATGGTGGCAGGTATATCAATTATAATTAATCAAATAGGATTCGGTTTTACATTATTAGTTTTTAATATTTGAATATTGATTTTTCCAATACAATTAAAAAAAATTCCAATTAGAAATAGATTCAATTAATTATACTATATTACTATTAAACTTTAATTTTAATTTATAGAAAGGAGCAACACAAGGAATCAGAGTTGCTGTTGATAATTGGCTTTATCCTAACGATAAGGTTTATGAACAAGCTATTCGAAAAGAGCTTGAAGAACTTTGTCCAGATAGAATGGAACATTACAATAAAGTCTCCAAATGGGAAGCTTTATATTGTAAAATTGAAAATATGGTATGTAATATTATTTAACAAATCATTTCAACAATTGTATACTTTTTTAAATTTTAAATCTAGATTAGTATCGAATCTTGCAAATATCGTGGAGCATTATTTGGACTTTCCATCATACTGTATTTGAACATGTTTTCAAAAAGAAAGTTTCTCCAACTGTTAATTCTGAAAGTTCTGAATCTGATATCGCTTCCTGGAAATTGAGCGAAGAAGTAAAGTGGTGTTTTGAAAATCTGGACATGATGAATGAAGAAGAAGACAAGACATATCTTCAAATGGTTGCCAAAAAAGTGTTTGGACGGCAACCTACAAGAAATCAACATGCAGTTGCTCATGCAATTTTACATAACCTGTTCAATCCCGAAATTACAAAATTAAATTTGATGAAAAATACTTGACACGAAAATTGCAATATTTCTTGGTAATGTATTATTTGTTAAAGTACAAGTATTGTGCAAAATTTTAATTAAATAATTTAATTATTTTTACTTAATAGCATACTGATGACGATCATCATGAAGATTCAAATGCAACCGATAGTGAATAAATTTAATCACTATACATTGTAATTCAAGATCTTGAAGAAATTACCTAAAAGAATACAATTCCAAAAACATCAAATATAAAGATGTCGGTATTATATCTTTTGAACATGCTATAATAATTGCTAAATATATAATTATCCGCTTATGCTTTATTCAAACACTATGTAATATTTTATATAAATTCTATGCAAAATTAAATTTTATTGGCTTTTATTAAATTTTTATTTGCACTTTATTAAAACGTTTTGCAATACTTAAATAAATTTTATATAAAATTTAATTTTATATAAATTATAAAGAAGCGTTATTTATATTATTATATAATAATTAAATAAGTTTTATATATAGTTTAATTTTATATAAATAATAAATAAACGATATTTTACTAGTATAAATATATACGCTTTGCATATAATTTATTTATTTTTTAATTTAATTAATTTTATATAAAAGTTAAATAAATATCATTAAAACTTTTATATAACTCTATCTATATATTTATTTATATAAAATTATACTATGTAAGTCTATGTTGGGTTTGTAAACTTATATAGAGATTCTACATAATTCTACATAAAAATTTTACATAATTCTACATAAAAATTCTACATTATTCTACATAAAAACAAATTCGTGATGTATATTAAAAATAATTTATTATTATTAAATAAAAATAATAAAAGTCAAAATTTTGAGAAATAAGTTTTTTACCAAGTTATTAATTTGCGAATTAAGTCAAAATCTAAATATCCGAACAAGTCTTAGTAAAAGCAAAAGATGTTATTCCAATCAAATATCCAAAATTATTTGGTGGACTATTCTTTATTAACCAAGGGTCTCCACTTGAACCATGTCCAAGAAATGGAGGTACACACTCTAGAGGTACAGAACTGTCATTTTCCTTTGATGCGTTACCTCTCCAACTGCAAAAAGTACGACGATCTTCAGCACAATTCATGTCACCATCTTGTGGATATCCAAATGTAACAATCAATATTCTGGATGTATACCCCAGTCCAGATATCCTGTATAATCTTGCAATCTACCTTGACCATTTTAATGTTGCATAATCACTAACAGAATGGTTTATATAATCAGTTGGAATATTAGCCTTTATGACAGCAACGCATCCATAACGGCTTTCTTTTCCATTGTCATATCCAGGACAAAACTTTAAATGATCAGAAAAGCAACCTGTATCAGTATCATAAAGGCAATGCGCTGCTGTTATTCCTGTATTTCCATCATTAGTAGAAATTACACTAGCAGTACAATGAGAATCTTGAGGATTTTGCTGAAAAAATAATATTCCAACTGCAAAAGGTTTATCGTTTTCACCTTCTGGATTAATAGTATTAACCATATTTTTTCATCATTATTTATAGTTCTGTTGAATTTTAAAGGCATAGGTAAAGGTTTTGCATTAAGCATCCTTTCTTGTGTCCAATAAGTAAGTGTATTTTCAATATTATTATAAGTTTTACTGATGATATCTTGTGTACATGCATTTTTTATGATTATCAATATAATCAATAAATACGAAATATATTTCTTCATTTTTAAGAATCAATAAAAAAAAGAATATGCACCAAGTAGAGAATGGGTAATAGTATTGAATAAGGCAAATTAGATGAAGTAAAGATTATTTATAATAATATTTATTAATTTTATTTTTTTTTTACAGAAAGCAACACTCGTTTGGTTTATTTTTATATTCTTATTTAACTACAATTACAGTATTTGAGTGATCAAAAGCGTAGCGTCTCGATTATTTCATTCATAATAAAAACTACACATCTTAATGAGTTGGTATGCAATTTTGTTTGATACGTGATTTGATCAATGCATAATATACTGTATATGTACAGTCCGAAAGTTAATCGCCATTAAACAAAAATTCATGTGGCGCTCAGTATAACGGTATTGCTTTATACGGAGAATTATAATGAAATCAAATTATGATTTACTATAATATCTGATATAAAATAAGAATTGGATATTAGGAGCTTTTGATATAGCGGAGCAAAGGACTGGAACCATGTCCTCCGTTATATCGAGAGCCACGTGCATAATTTACCAAGAACGGAGTGATGCATTTCATGAAGTGTATGCCAGGAGCGGAGTGATATACCAGGAACGCAGTAATGCTTGCATCACGGAGTGTATGGCTTCCTGCCATCTAGAATGTCGAGTTCGCAAAATCCTGCAATCGATTGGGCGTTAAAACTCTGATTTCGCATGTTAATGTGCTATGCTGTTGTAACATACCGCTGCAGCTCGTGCATGAACATACTGGATTTGTATTAATGTTACTCTGAGATTAGAACTCCTACAGGGAGATCCCCAAAATTCCGGGTCGGAAGCTTCGAAACTCTGGTCGAAAGGGCCGGAGTTGATCAATTTTGCCCCAAGATCAATAAGAATTTTACTAATGAAACAATAGTCGTTCATTAAGTGAAAAGTGCCCAACTGATAATTTTACTATAGCCTATAGCTCCCACTAACCCTAACCAAGCCCTAACCCGACCCTAACCACGACGCATTCCGGCCATTACGACCCGGAATTTTGGGGATCCCCCTGTAGAAAATTGAGAAATTGAGATTAGTGATATGGGCCGATAACAAAACTTTGACCGGGCTGACAAAACTTTGACTGGGGCTGACAATAATATAGCGCGGCCCGGTTGACCGGGCCGACTATTTTACGATTTCAGATAATAAAATCAGGATTCAATGTTATAAATAACAGAACGTAATCTGTAATGAATTGGTTTAATAATCTTTCATTTTGGTGTATTGATCGTCTAACTAAATTAATATCGTGATTGTTAAAGACTATAGTATGAAGCGTGCAATATTGATACGAGTCTAACACGATAATTCAATGCCTCCAATCAATATAGTAGGTACTAGAATGTAGGCTCTTTCATATTAAGCAAAATGTTTAATGCGAAGTTTATATTTTAAGAAGAATCTCGTTTTTATCATAAAGTAGTATAGTCATAGCGATCTTCTTTCATTAAGTCCACACTATTATTAGCTCGCTATTACAGAATTATTATTCCTATTAGAAGTATTGTACCATTCAAAAATTTCAAGTATTGATTGGAACTACGTTAAGCATTTATTAACGGTACAATATGTAACTTATAATAGTTTGCAAATTTAGGAATATGCAGACGCAAAGATAGAAAGGCAAGCAGATAGGTATACACTTACTTTTGTTATAATTAAGTTCACGTGCTGAGAAAAAAATATTATAGAGAGAATACAATATGTCCTTCACTATCAAATTAAAGTTAATAATTCTGGAATTCAAAAATTCTTCATTATATCGTATCTTCACTATAACGAGAGTGAGTTGTATTTTGTAAAATTTATGAATCTATGCAAGTCTAACAAGTTAAATAAACAATTTAAAAGTTTTGCTTACATACAAATTAGTTATCTATTAGCTATTGTAGATAACAATAAATCCAAAAACAATAATGCATTTATGGTACATATAACATAATAATACTGCTATTACTATTGCAAATTTTTGTAAAAAAAAAATTATTTTACCTTAATCGGCCCTGGCCCACGAAGTTACGGGTCGAGGTTCGCCCATTTCACTATCTGAGATTCGTATACGTAATATCATATGATGGAACGAAATTAGGTGAGAATATGGGATTACAGAATACTGGAATATTAGTATGGTATGGTGACATGAACGGTCTGGTATGAGGTGTACAATGATTAAATATAATAGATGTACGGTTTATAGTTTAAAAACTATACGATACTTATAATATATAATAAATTAAATTATTATATCGAATTAGCATGGTATGGCTTTCTGTTGAAAATACATACTATGCTGACCTGGTTATAGATGACATTAAGTTACTGAGTTGCCCACCACCTCTTGAATGTGTACCAGGTTGGCGGCATTAATCTTGCGCCAACCGATAAATAAAATTCAAATTATAATAAATTTAATACTGTATATAAGCGGAAATAATGTTATTTGAAATCGGATCCTTCAAAACGAGCATCCTAATGTCGCAAATAGTTTATTATATTGATAAATGATGCATGGTCGGTACTCCATACGTGCAAATTCTATAATTGCACTTCATATACGCTTCACATATAATGATACGGCATAAACGCGAATAACGCCCGCCTGCGCGTTATTTCAATACACCCATAACGTGTTATTTCGAAATAAGAGAAGATTTTCTAAATTCAATACTGTTAACCTTCCACGAATGCACGTTGTTAAGTAAAAATATATTTATAGAATATTAATTATGGAGAAGAAACTTCATATATAATGTTAAATAATTACATTAGACCGATCAAATTATGTGCACTTATCATCATAGGGAAAGTGCACTTATAAAGTGTACACATATGGAGTATCATTTATTGCAACAATAAATTATGCGCAACATTTGGATGCGCGTTAATCCGGGACGGGACGTTCATGAGTGCTAATTCGAGACCATATAAATTATTTTTGAAGGATTAGATTTTCAAATTAACGCCCACGAGCGTTATTTTTTGCCTATACGGTATCATTACAATTATCCGATAACCACTTCCTCAAAAACTATTTTCCCAACAAATATTTTCCGCCATAACCATTTTCCCGATAACCATTTCCTCGACAACCATTTCCCTGACATGACCATTTCCCGACATGACGTGATTGTCGGGGAAATGGTCATGCCGGGGAAGTGATTATTAGTGAAGGGGCTGTCGGGAAATGATTATGGTGGGAAATATTTTTCGGGAAAATAGTTGTCGGAGAGGTGGTTGCTGGTAATTATCGGTAAACCTATCATTATAAGGAAAGTGCACGTGAAGTGCATTTATAGAGTGTGCGCATATGGAGAATCGACAGTATATCATTTATCGCAACAATAAATTATGTGCGACATTTGGATCTGCGTTTATTCGGGACGTCCATGAGTACTAATTCGAGACCATATAAATTATTTTTGAAGGATTCTACTAACGCCCACGAACGTTATTTTGCGCATATACGGTATTATTATAGGGAAAGTGCATGTGAGTGCACTCATAGAGAGTGTGCAACAATAGATTATTTACGACATTAGGGTGCTAGTTAATTTGAGACGCTAATTCGAGACCATATATGTTATTTTTGAAAGATCCGATTTTCAAAATAACGCCCACAAGCGTTATTTCTGCTTATACGATACTAAATTTTATTTTAATTTGCATTTTATGGATGGTTACTACCGTCAATTTGGCACACATTCAGGAGGTGGTGTGCAATTCTGTATTTTAATGTCATCTATTACCAGGTCAGTATGGTATGGATTTTTAACAAAGAATCATACTATACTGATTCGATATAATAATTTAATTTATTGTAATTTCTGTCAGTATGATATGTTTTTTAAAACTATAAACCGTACCATACTGACCAGCTATTATATATAATAGGCTAATAAGTATATGATGGTCTATTGTAGACTTCAAATCAGACTCAGTGTAAAAATTTCAGTTTGAGAAGTATGTGCGCACTCATATGATCATATTAAAATAAGATAACTTTATGTGCGATCCGCACACGCGCACATTAAATTTTTTGCACTGATCAGACTGTTCAGGTCGCCCAATAACAGACTGCTTAAAATTCAAAATACTTTTATTGCGATTTATTTACTGTAACATTTTTTATTCCCGGGACAGTGCATTTTTTTGCATTTTTTTCATAATTTGCTAATCACCCGATGTCGGGTGATCAGACTAATTATTGGATAAATTTAATCCCATCGGTACAAAAAAGTAAAGCTTATCTGCAGATCCTATGCGATACACTCACCCGATTTGGGGTGATGTACCATTCGAAGTGATAAGCTGTAGATAGCACGATGCAGGGATAAAGTTTTTATTTATGTACTGTACGTACGTATGTGATCTGATTTTGGTATATAGTACTCTATATATATTGTTACGATAATTTATATTATTAAATAATTTGTTATTTAGTTTAAAAGTTTTTTTTTTTTTTATTCTGGACAAGTAATATGTATTAGGGATGAATCGGTTTCGAAAATACCAAATAATAATTGTAAACCGGAGCCTGGTTCCAAGATCGGTTTGAACCAGGCTTCATAAATAGCTAATTAAAGTTATTAAAAAAAAAATTTGGTAATGGCAAGTCTATCGCTTAGCATCCACAATATTATATAACCTATGGTAAGGCTAAGTCTATATTTATTAGATGACGAAAGATGAAACCCAAATTCTAATTCTTCTGACCAAAGATGATCAAACTGAGTTTTTTAATCTTAATCAGAAAACTAAGTATAATACAATATAGAATACTTATTCTAGTTC